ACTGGTTCGATTGACCCGCACATCTTCAGGACCTCATCGGGCATACCACCTTCTCATTGGCTGACTGCTGATGTGCTGGAAATAAAATCTGTTTTTTCTTAAAAGGTGGGCCGATCCCCGCGGTGTCGGAACATGCTGCGAGCTGCGCCCAGCTGCGGCGACGCGCGCTCTCAACCCCGCCACCCGCGGAGCAGGCCGAGGAGGAGGAGGAGGAGGAGGAGGAGGAGGAGGAGCAGGAGGAGCAGGAGCAGGAGGAGGAGGAGCAGGAGGAGGCGGAGGCGGAGGAGGAGGAGCAGGAGGAGGAGGAGCAGGAGGAGCAGGACGCGCCGACGCCGGCTCGCCGCGAGCTCGCCGGAGGGCCTCCCGCCCCCGCCGGCCCGCGGCCAGGCTCGCGCGGGGCCTGGCCCGGGGCGCGCTGCGGCGCTGGCGCCCGGCGGCCCGGCGCCGGGCTCGGTGCCTCCTCGGCCGGTGCTCCCCGCGGGCGCCGGCGCCGCGGGCGTCGGCTGCAGCCGCCACGGGCGCCACGGGCTCTCCTCGTCCTCCTCCTCCCCGTCCTCCTCCTCCTCCTCTCCCCCTCCCTTCTCCTCCTCCTCCTCCTCCTCCTCCTCCCCGTCCTCCTCCTCTCCTCCTCCTCCTACCGCTCCTCCTCCTCCTCCTCCTCCTCCTCCTCCCCGTCCGTTCCTCCTCCTCACTCCTCCTCCTCCTCCTCCTCCTCCTCCTCCTCCTCCCCTTCCGTTCAGGAGCCCACACGTCTGATCTGGAACCCCGGTGGAGCCCAGTACAGACATGCTCACTCAAATTCAGGCGGCCTCCCAGGTTCGACTTACGGTAGAGGGAAACAATTAGTGAACAGCCCCCCTGCCCCCCAAAGGTTGGCACGCGCGGGGGAGACTGCGGTCGGGGTGCAACTCATCAGACCCACCGCCAACTTTGAACATTGGGGGGAGGGGGAGGCGTTCACAGATGAATGTGGCATGAGTGTTCGCTATTTTTTCCCGAGGCCTGTCGCTGCGGCGGGAAGTGCGCCAGGCACCGCCGCGGCCTTCGCCCGCCAGCTCTGTGGAGGACGATCAGTGGAGAGGAAGCGTGCTGCCAAAGAATGTCCAGGTGTCTAAAAGCATGTGTGAGACGTGCTTTAAGCAGGTCAGAACATGTCTGAAACACGCTTCGAACATTCTTCCGGCATTTTAAACACAATTTAGATTAAATGATACAACCCTCGTCAAAAATAAACTGAGGGATTATGTTTTCGGTGATTGTATGGTCAGCGCTACTCCAATGCTGACGCTAGATATCTGACGTGGACGCAAGGGCTTCAAAAATCCGACGACCCCTCCGCAGCATTGAAGAACGCAGCTTCTAACAAGTGCCCGAGAAGATCGACCGTCGTGATTTCCAACTGCGTTCCTGTTTGTTTTTGACGAGGCTTGTAGGACTGTTAGGGTGTCCATTACAGTGGCATCCACAGCGCCAGCTCCTCTCCCTGTCCCTCCTCCGCCTCCGCCTCCATGCCTCGACCTCCTTCCCTCCTCCTGGGGGGGCCACTCCCGCCCGCTCGGTCTACCTCGAACGAGTTCGCGCAGGATTGAGGCCTGAGGTCTGTAGGAAAGCCGAGCAGGCCAAGAAGGCCAAGAAGACCAAGAAGGCCTGAGGTCTATAGAGGAAAGCCGAGCAGGCCAAGAGGGCCCGTACGGGGTCTAAGTGATGCTCTTGTTCCCAACCATCCTGTGGTGTTGGCCCTCAATTTGAAGACAGCGCCCCGCGTTCCTCCTCCTTCTCCTCCTCCGCTCCTCTCCTCTCCTCTCCTCTCCTCTCCTCTCCTCTCTCCTCTCCTCTCCCCTCCTCTCCTCACTCCTCTCCTCTCCTCTCCTCTCCTCTCCTCTCCTCTCCTCACTCCTCTCCTCTCCTCACTCCTCTGCTCTCCCCTTCCGCTCCTCTCCTCCCTCTCCTCTACTCTCCTCTCTCTCCTCTCTCTCTCCTCCCCCCTCCTCCTCCCTCCATCATATCATCATCATCATCATCATATCATCATCATCATCATCATCATCATCATCATCATCATCATCATCATCATCATCATCATCATCATCATCACCATCATCATAATCATCATCAACAACAACATCAACATCAACATCAACATCCTCTTCATCATCATCATCACCACCATCACCATCACCAGCACCATCATCATCACATCGTCATCACCATCACATCGTCATCATCATCGTCATCATCAGCATCAGCATCATCATCATTGTCACCATCATCATCTCAATCATCATCGCCATCATCAGCAGCAGCAACATCCTAGTCATCATCAGGATCATCACCATCACCATCATCATCAGCAGCAGTATCATCCACGTCGTACTCATCATCAGCACCATCACCAGTATCATCAGCCGCAGCATCATCATCAGCATCACCACCACCACCACCACCATCATCATCATCATCATCATCATCAGCAGCAGCAGCAGCAGCATCAGCATCATCATCACCGTCGCCGTCATCTTCGCCATCCTCGTCATCATCTTCATCATCACTATCATCGTCATCAGCATCGCCGTCATCGTCATCATCATCGCCACTCATATCGGTACACCCCTCATACGTTTCGTGGGCCCGCGGGGAGCTCCACTGAAAGCTCCTGTAGCGGTGTTCGCATGCGTCTCCCCCACCCAGTACAGCGCTTCGTGGCCCCATAGGGAGCTCCACCCAAGGCCCCATCTCCCCGACCCAGTACAGCGCTTCGTGGCCCCATGGAGAGCTCCACCCAAGGCCCCAGTGGCGGTGTTCGCAAGCGTCCCTCCACCCAGTACAGCGTTCCGCGACCCCCATAGGTAACCCCACCGAAGGCCCCAGTGGCGGTGTTCGCATGCGTCTCTCCCATCCAGTACAGCGTTTCGTGACCCCATACGGAGCCCCACCGAAGGCTCCAGTGGCAGTGTTCGCATGCGTCCCCCCCACCCAGTACAGCGCTTCGTGGCCCCATCTGGAGCCCACCGAAGGCCTCAGTGGCGGTGTTCGCATGCGTCCGCCCCGCTCAGTGCAGCGCTTCGTGGCCCCATAGGGAGCTCCACCCAAGGCCCCAGTGGCGGTGTTTGCATGCGTCTGCCCCGCTCAGTACAGCGTTTCGTGCCCCTCATGGGGGGCTCCACCGAACGCCCCAGTGATTGTGTTCGCCCCCCGCCCGCTACAGCGCTTCGTGGCCCACATAGGGAGCTCCACAGACCAAGGCCCCAGTGGCGGTGTTCGCCTGCGTCGCCCCCCCCCGCCCACTACAACGCTTCGGGGCCCCATAGGGCGCTTCACCCAAGGCCCCCCGGTTGCGGTGTTCGCATGCGTCTCCCCCACCCAGTACAGCGCTTCGTGGCCCCATAGGGAGCTCCACCGAAGGCCTCAGTTGCGGTGTTCGCAAGCGTCCCCCCCGCCCAGTACAACGCTTCGTGACCCCCATGGGGAGCTCCACCGAAGGCCCCTTTTGCGGTGTTCGCAAGCGTTTCCCCCCACCCAGTACAGCGTTTCGTGGCCCCCATGGGGAGCTCCACCGAAGGTCCCAGTGGCGGTGTTCGCATGCGTCTCCCCCACCCAGTACAGCGTTTCGTGGTCCCACAGGGAACTCCACCCAAGGCCTCAGTGGCGGCGTTCGCATACGTATCTCCCACCAAGTACAGCGCTTCGTGGCCCCATTGGGAGGCCCACCGAAGGCCCAGTGGCGGTGTTCGCATGCGTCTCCCCTACTCAATACAGCGCTTCGCGGCCCCATAGGGAGTTCCACCCAAGGCCCCAGTGGCGGCTTCGCCCCATTGCTGCGCACACCTCGCACGCTTCGCAGCCCCATAGCGAGTTTCACCTGAAGGTCCAGTGGCAGCGCCCACATCGCATGCTTCATGGCCCCATGGGGAGATCCCCCGAAGGCGATACCCGCAATGGCGGTACCCACAATTGCATATGGTTGGGTCTGTCGCCACGATAAGTTTAGACATTGTCCTGGACTCTTACATACTCTAACGCCGCCTCCCTGTCCTCGGTCTCCTCCCTTCCCGATCCTCCCCAGCAAGAGGTGCGCTTCCTCACTGCGTCGGGGGTGCGTTTCCAGGAGGAGGATCGACTGGAGGGGGACAAGGGAAGAGCAGCGGAAGGACGAGGAGGATGAAGAGGACCAGGGCGATGAAGCTGGGTCTCGGGCAGGGACGCGAAGGTAATCGCGCCTCGCGCGCCACGGTCTGGACAGGAGAGCAGCCCTTTCCCAGGGGGCGATGCGAGGGCGCGGGGGCGCGGAGCTCGATGCGCGAAGCTATCTGACCTATATATATATATATATATATATATATATATAGAGAGAGAGAGAGAGAGAGAGAAAAAAAAGAGAGAGAGAGAGAGAGAGAGAGGAGGCAGCAGAGGGGGGTCATAAGGGGGGACGTGGGCTTTCGGAAGCCTCTGGCGCAGGAGCAGTTTGCGCACGCGCGCGCGCCTGCGCGCGCGTGCGTGCGTGCGTCCGTGCGTGCGTGCGTGTGTGTGTGTGTGCGCGTGTGTGTGTGTGTGGCACCATCCGCAGCCTTTGGCTCAAGCCGCTCTGGGTCAAGTCGCCCTGGGCCAAGCCGCGGGCCGTTAGGAGGCCATCCCCCCTTCCTTCACTTCTGCTCCTTCCTTTCCACTTCCACTTGCACTTGCACTTCCACTTCCACTTCCACTTCCACTTCCACTTCCACTCCCTTCTCATGTCCAGCGTCGCGAGTCTGGCCGCGAGCCGACGCCGCTCCTCCGCCAAGGCGGCCGGGCAGGCAGCCGGCGTCGGCATCAACCGCTCCGGGCGCGCTGGGCGCCAGGGCGGCTCGCACCTGCACGCAGGACCCCGAGGTGGATCTGGAGCTCGTGGGTGCGTACCACGAAGCCGAACTCCTCGCCGACCTGCCAGCGGGCGCTGGCTCCGTCGGGGGCACCAGGCTGCGGGATCTGCGGGCGCCGCGGGCGCTGCGGGCGCCGCCGGCGCTTCAAGGCGCTGCGGCCGCCCCCTCCGTCGCGCGGCGCTGCCGGAGGCGCTGCAGGTCGAGGAGCCCGTGGAGGACCTCAGCTGCCGAACGGAAAGGGTGGGCGTGAACGTCTGGGAGTTCTGGGCCAGACGCTGCAAGAGACCTCCCAGGGTCGTCCAGGGCCGCACCTGCGCCCCCGGCGTGGAGTCGCGCGTCGGCGTCGTGGGGGTGCTTCCACGAGCATGGCTTCCGCCTCCGTGGGCTCCAGCAGGACGGTGTGGTGGCCATCCAGCTGCTCAAGCGCACGGCGCCAGAGGACTTGGAGAGGACGCGCGTCCTCGCCCTCGGGCAGGCGAACTGCAGCACGGCCCGCTTCCGCACCACGCCACCAGCCTGGCCACCGTCCCCCCGGAGGAGGCGCGCGCCGAGGCAACTTGGCAAGGCGATCGGGGATGTAGCCGCGCGGTTGCCGCCCAGCGTGGAGAGGGTGCTGCAGGTCTCTGGCATCACCATCTTCCAGGCTCATTCCTTAACGTGGCGCGCCTCGAAGTGAGGGCGCACATGGATTTCATTTCTCGGGGGCTTGTGGTGGCGGAAGCGGCTGCTACACGCGAGCTAGAGCGCCACCCCAGGCCTGGCCCAAGCATGGTCAGGTTGCTTCCCGCACTCGTGTGCTGGCCAGTAGCGCCAGCATTTTGAATCTACTCGGTGCCAGCTCGTTGATGTTGGAGGTTTCCTGGCATCCTATAGTTTGCTTCATTGGAAGTTGCGTCTCGCACGCATTGCTGATAGCACTTCTCGGGGGCCTGTGGTGGCGGAAGTGGCTGCTCTGTGTGTGCTAGAGCGCCACCCAAGGCTTGGCCCAGACCAGGCTGTTTCTTGCACGCGTGTGCTGTGCATTGAACTTCTCGGGGGCCTGTGGTGGCGGAAGTGGCTGCTTTGCGCGAGCTAGAGCGCCACCACAGGCTTGGCCGCTTGGCCCAGCATCTTGTTGTGTCTGCGTTTGTATATCACTTCGTTGGTGCGCGGTTGATTCTTCATTCGTAACCGACACCGTCGTCCGCGTCCGCTTCTCTCCCCGCTGCCCCTCCTTTCCCAGATGTCAGACGCTGCGGGCGCACTTTTCCCAGTCGCTCTGGCGTGGTGTCATCAGCTCCCCGTGCGGGGGGTACTCCGCACATCCCGCTGCATTGCCGCTGCTGTGTTCCTGACGTGTACTGTGTACTGCATGCCTGTTCAGACAGCCTCCCCTTATCGTCTTCTTCTCCTGTCGTCGTCGTCGTCCGCTTCTCCTCCACCTCTCCCCCCTCCCACCGCTGTCGGATGCTGCGGGCGCATGATTTCGCATGTCCGGCCGGCATGGCGCTGAGCTGCCGTTCGGCCTCCCCCCCTCCTCGACCCCTCGTCCTCTTCTCCGTCGTCGTCGCCCCCGCCTCGCCCCGCCGCTCCCCCGCTCTCGGATGCCTGATGTTGCGAGCGCACTCTTTAGGGGAACAAGAAGTGACGTAAACATGAAAACTCGGAGGTCCGCGTGGATTTCTCGGATCGGCGCTGGACACCCCTCCCTGGCGCGCGGAGCGCGCCAGGGGCGGCGCCCGAGGCGCCGCCGGGGGCCCCAGCGCCGATCCGAGAAATCCGCGCGGACCTCCGAGTTTTTTTTTATGTTTATGCCACTTTTTGTTCCCCTACTGGCGTGGTGTTTATGCCACTTTTTGTTTATGTTTATGTAACTTTTTTCTGCTTATGCAACTTTTTGTTCCCCTGCTCTTCCCGGCCCCACTGGCGTGGGTCGGCCCCCCGTGCGGGGGGCCATCCCCGCGCGCCCCGCAGCCAGGCTTGCCGCTGCCGTGTACCTTTCCCCCACCCTTGGGGTGAAGTCGGGCGTGTCCCCCTGCAGCGGAAGTGTTCAAAAACAGTCCCAAGATAGTCTGGGGACGTTTGTTTTACTATTTGGGAGCATTTGGGGGGCATTGTCTGCGTTTTTTGGGGGGGTTCGCCCAAAGTCCCCCTGTCCCAGACCCCCGACGTCATGATTTTTTCATGACGTCGACCCCCCGAGGTCTCGACCCATTCCCCGGGACCGGTTTCTCGTCCCGAGTCGTTTTCTGACGGTCCCGAGGGCCCGTGAGGGCCCCCAGAGGCCAAAAACAGTGAAAAACCTCCCGTCGTGATTTTTTCATAACTCGAGGGGGTCTGGGGTAGGGGGACACGCCCGACTCCACCCTCGGGCGGGGGGCCCTCCGCTCCCCGCGCGGGGGGGGGGCACCCGCACACGCCCCCCCCCACGGCCCGCCCGCCCCCCCCGCGGGGGGGGCAGCCCGCTCCCTGCGCGGGGAGCCACCCGCACGCCCCACGGCCATCCTCGGGGGGGAAAAAAAAAACACACTGACAAAAGTAATCGTCGACTCCCAGGAAGACATGGGAAAATATGGGAAGTGGGGGGGAAGGCAGAAGCCCTGACTATATGGGAAAATATGTGGAATCCTTTTTATTTGTGTGTATTTATTTGACAAATAAATAGTGTGTCCTAGGACACACAGTGTGTCCTAGGGCCCCTTCACATCCCCTTTTGCGGGGGGGGTAGCCCGCTTCCCTTTTCTCCCCCGCGCGGAGGGTCGTCCGCACATAGCCCGCCGCCGGTACCGCCGCTGCCGCGTGCTTGCCCTCCTCTCTCGTCCCCCCCCCGCGTCCTCCCCTGCGCCCGTCGTCGTCGTCCGTCGCCCCCTCCCCGCCGCCCGCCCCTCCCGAGGCACGGCCTCCGCGTGCCTTGGCTCCTCCCCCGTCCTCCCCGCCCCCCTTCTCTTCTCCCGCCGTCGTCTTCGGCTCCTCCCCATCCACGCCGCCCCCCCCCCCCCTCTCGAATGGCACGGCCCCTCCGCTCGAGCGCGCTGCCCCGCCGTGCGCAGACACTCGGCCGCGCTGTGGGCCCTTCCTGCCTCCTCCCCCCTGCCTCTTGTGCTGCGCCTCCCCCTCGCTCTCCTCGCGCCTCTCCTGCCTCGCCTGGCTCCCTCCCCCCCCTGCGCGCCCCGCCCCTCCCCCTGGGCGCGCGGGGGGGCTCCTCCCCCTGGCCCCCGGTGTTTTCCCTCGCCCGCCGGTCGGCCCGGCGTCCCTCGTGTCCGTCCGCCCGCCCCCCCCACCCTCGCCGGTCCGCGTCCGCTCCTCGCTCCTCGCTCCTCCCTCGCGTTGCCTGGCCCCCTTCTCCCTTATCTTGCTGGTTTGCAGGCTCTCTCCCCCCGCCGTAGGGGTGCCTGGCTAAACGTGGCGGACAGAGCGTGGAGCTCAGAAACCTTGCCTTGCTGGCCACTCGGCGCTCCGATTCGGGCCGAGCTGGCTTGTGCTTTACTTCTCTGCAGCTCCGGCCGCTGAGCTTTCCTTCTCTTCTGGCAACCACGCGCGCGCACGGTTTCCCGCGCGGGCGACAGCGATGCGCTTGGCCGCAACGGCTGAAAAGTTTGTGTGGCACTTCACCTGTATGGCCATAGCTCATGTGTCGCATCCTTGCAGCTGGGTTGCGGAGTGAAAAGGTTTGTACACTCCTCAGCATTACGGTGCAGGTTGTGTTCCGCGTGCATCTGCATTTGCATGGCCTCCTCGGCGTTTCCATGTGCATGCGCGTTCTGGCATTTTTCAGCATGCGTTTGCCCCTTATCCAGACGCGCCATTTCCAACGCTAGGTGGCAATTGAGCTACAGCCGGACCGAGGTATAGCATCGAGGTCGGCTCGGGGATGGTACCCTGCAGACAGTCAGGTAGAGTTGGTTCGATTTGCTTGGGCTGCAAGCGTGACTGAGTCAACGCGTGACCAGGGTCCGAACATCAAGAAGGCGCCGACGACGACGACTCTGGCGACGGCGAGGTCCAGTGATCAAAAAGCGCGACGGCCAAAACGTCGGAACCCAGAGGAGCAGCTCAGTAAAGTTCTAGAAGGAGCCGCCTGTGGAAAGTTTGAGAAGAAGCCGCCGGAGGAATGGTCTAGAAGGAGCCGCCTGAGCAAAGTTCTGGAAGGAGCGCCAGAGTAAACTTCTAGAAGGCTCCTTCCCCCTCCTGTCGCGCCTGCTCCGCGCCCCTGCGTAAGTCGTCTTCGGAGTCCTGCTTCGCCCGTAATGATATCATACAAAGATGCAGTGGTCCGACGGGATCCGTGCCGTCCCAAACCCATCGCATTCGCACAGGATCCGTCCGACAAACAGCGGATCCGCATAGGATCGGTAGCGGGTCCGTGCCCAGATCTGGCGCCCGCTGAGGCGACGTTGACACTCCCGAGCGGGGGCCCTCGTCAGCGTCCGCGGGGGCCCCTGCACTCGTTTTCAGGCGCCCGACGTTGCGCCCATCGCCCGCGACCTGCCGCCGAGCTCCTTTTCCACAGTCTACTTAGGCCGACGGCCCCTGGCCTGGTTGGACCGACAGTCTGGAACCTTCGTGCGATTCGAGACTACGAGCCTATTTATCACGTGGTGCCAACTGGCTTGACTGCCTGTCGGGTTCTTCGTGTTCGTTGCGTGCTCTCGTGCGTCCTCTGGATGGGCACCCTTGGATGCCGTGCTTGCTTTGGCGGACTGAGGGCCTCATGCTCTTGCGGGGTGCTCTTCTGGCCCAGGTCCGAGAGCGCGAGCGTGCCGCGCGGCAGCCATCACTCCTCGCGGCCGTGCTGCCACGTCGCCGCTGGAGAAGAAGAAGAAGAAGAAGCGCCCGCCACCACCCCGGCGACCGCCCGGAGGCCGCGGAGCAGCCGACGCCCGCCTGTTTTGGCACAGGGCCAGCGCGGGCCCGGCCCCACAGGTGGGCGCGCGCTCAGATCACGCGAGGCCCAGCGCCAAACAGAACGCCGGTCCCCCCCCCGCAACACCACGCAGCAGAGGATGCCACCCGACGCCGCGCGCCACCGACGCAGCCCCGCGTGGTGGTGCCCTGCGGTTTGTCCAGAGCACAAGGAGGAGGAAGAGGAGGAGGAGGAGGAGGAGGAGGAGGAAGAGGAGGAGGAAGAGGAGGAGCAGCAGGAGCAGCAGGAGCAGCAGGAACAGCAGGAGCAGCAGGAGCAGCAGGAGCAGCAGGAGCAGCAGGAACACCAGGAACACCAGGAACAGCAGGAGCAGCAAAAACAGCAGGAGCAGCAGGAGCAGCAGGAGCAGCAGGAACAGCAGGAGCAGCAAAAACAGCAGGAGCAGCAGGAGCAGCAGGGGCAGCAGGAACAGCAGGAGCAGCAGGAGCAGCAGGAGCAGCAGGAGCAGCAGGACCAGCAGCAGGACCAGCAGCAGGACCAGGAACAGGAGCAGGAGCAAGAGGAGGAGAGGGGAACAGGATGGACAAAGAGAAGGAGCAGAAGGAGGAGGAGGAGGAGGAGGAGGAGGAGGAGGAGGAGGAGGAGGAGGAGGAGGAGGAGGAGTGAGGAGGAGGAGGAGGAGGAGGAGGAGGAGGAGGAGGAGGAAGGAGGAGGAGGAGGCGGAGGGCGGAGGGACAGAAAGGAGAAAAAGCAGAAAAGGAGGAAAAGGAGGAGGAAAAAGCAGGGAGGAGGA